AGATTGAAGTTCAGGTGGCAGCATCACAGGAGGATTTGTGAGCCTGTCAACAGTAGCAAATAAAGCTCGGGCGTTGTTAGTGTTTTTGTTTATGACATCTGCAAAGAAAGCCTCTCTTGCAAGTTTTAGTGTTGTGTGATAGTTACGTAGTCTTTCCTTGTAGATGTCATAATAAACGTGTAGTTGAGTTTTACGCCATTTCCGTTCGGCTCTACGGCAGAGTTGTCTTGCAGACAGAACTGTTTGTGCATTTCTCCATGGAGATTTCTTCCTACCAGACACAACCTTCACTTTAATGGGGACAATGTATTCAATGATATCTGAAAGTTTGCACTGAAAATCATCTACCAACTTATCTACGTCATTATAGTTTAAGGGCGAGGAAGAAGAGTCGATTTGATTAAATGTTTCTGCTGTGTTTTCTGTGAAAGTACGTTTTGTGATAGTAGCTGTTTGTCCAAGTGGGTTAATGGATAAAGAACTTTCAAAGATAACAGCAAAGTGATCCGACAGGCGACATCAGTTACAGAGACGTTGGAAATATTCACACCCTCACTGATAACCAGGTCCAGTGTATGTCCATGAGTGTGGTCTTGTGGTAATTTAAAGTCTAATTTCTGCTGTTCTGCTTGAATCAGGTCAGTTTGAGAACACTGGTTCACTGCTGGGCTGGGCCAGGTTTACTTAAATTATGACTATTTAATTTCACCATTAGAGGAACATTCAATAATTTAATTGGGCATTTTTGTTTCATTTATCACATTTAGTTATAGTAGCACTGGTTCAAACCGCTAACTATGCAGTTCAGTATGCTAACCTTAACACGCTAATTAGTTCGTTTTAGTTCAGCTAGCTAAAACGCTAAAACGTCAGTCTAAATATCATTTGTTCAATAATGTTTTGTTCTCTAATTTCCGCTTTTTTTGTTCCTGTATGTTTTGGGTTTGAAATGTTTTTGGAGAAAAAAGAAAATTAAAGTATAACTGCTGCAGTAACACTATTCAAACACTTCAAAATAAAAGCATGAATATAAACTCCATCAGCTTTAAGGATTCTTGACCAAAACTTCAACGCAGAAGTTTAACTTTATTCAAGTGAAAGTTTACAAAAGCGCCAAGTAAATTAGAGCTTCAGGATTTATCCAGAACATTTTATTTAGGGGAAGCTAAGCACGCTAAACATTTTAAAAGTTAGCAAAAACACTGAAGCGCTAAGTTATTAGCACGTTAGCCGTTTTAACCCCCTCAGATCGCCGGGTTTTAGCCGGGTCTCCAGATGGTATCAGGTGAATCCGGCCAGAACATCCAGGCTCCGGGTGATGTCACTGATCCAGAAGTTTATCTGGTCCAGAACCTGGTTCTGATGGTTCTGGTTCCCAGCAGAACTTGCTTGAAGCTTTCAGCTGCTAATGGATTGAAGCAGCCGTCTGAGGCTGAACTCACTGACGATGTTGGGTCTGGGCCGTGTTAATGGGCCGTGCGGCCTGGTTCCGCAGGGCGGACTGGTTCCCATCATGGCGGCTCCCACGGCCTTATCGTCAAAAACAAACAAACCAAAGTTCTTAAAGCGCCGAGGGTCTGAGGGCAATAAGGATCAGGGTGGGAGGGGCAGTAGGGGTCGGGGGTCGTCTCCAGGGAGACGGCATCAGAAAAGAAAACATTCAGCTCCCACGCTCCCCACTGCTGGAACCAGAACCCAAACAGAACCATCGTGAGAAACAACGTCATCATGTTTCCAGGGAGCGGCTTTAACCGTGGGACCATCAGAACCTGAAGGCCTGGTTGGCCCAAACATCCCGACAAAGAGCTCAGCTTCGATCCGGTTCTGATCCAGAACTTCAGCTTCAGTGTGAACATGTTCCTGATATCAGAACCATCTCAGTGGATCTTCAGGTCCAGTTTCTCCAGAACCAATCAGAGGTGAGATGAGCTCTGCTCTCTCATTGGTCAGAAACCTGGAAGTTAAACTAGGATTGTGGAAAAACTGGAAAGAGGAGCAGAATGATGACCAGGTCGGGTCCAGCTTCCTGTGACCCAGTTGGACTAGGTTCTGGAAGGTTTGGAGGTCCAAACAGGACTGGGTCTGGATGGTACCCATCAGAACCAGCAGCAGGTTCTATCAGAACCAGCAGCAGGCTCTGGACCTACATGCACTCTCTGCACTCCTCCAGGTTCTGGTTCTGGACCGGCTGGGAACCCGGATGGATCCGGTGAAGGCAGACATGGAGCTGCTGAGCGACAGCATGGCCGCCTACGCTCGCATCAAAGGTCAGACAGGAACCCAATATTCATTCAGCCTGATGGTAATTCAGTCCGTCAACAGTTAGCATGCGCAATAAGCTAAATGTTTACACAAGGCAAGTATTAAGTCTGAATTTACTGTTAGCATTTAGTTTAGCTCCATTTAGCATGCTAACAAATTTTGGTGTGTTGAGAAACGAGACATTTTCTACCTGCTGCTCGTTGTTCTCTCGTCTCTCCAGGCGTAAAAGTGAAACCACAGACAACAGTCACTGTTCAACTTCACAACCAACCAGAATTTATTCACACAATCAAATGCATAAAGTCACACCGACAGCTCAACATGGTCATCAGATACCAAAGCCAAGGAGGAAACATTAATTATCTGAGAACAAATACTAAAATACAAAGACGCGCCTTCAGAGAGCTCTGAGTGGCAGTTCAGACAGATCCTCCACCCAGCGATCTGATTGGCTGTTTTAGCTCCATTGCTTCTATATCCAGGCGTTTCTACTGCCTGGTGTGTCTGACGTTTAGAGGCGTCCGCCTGCCGACAGCAGCACCACGCCATCAGTGCTGCTGTAGCCAGAGACATGCAGGTGATACCGAGGCCCAGGATGGATCCATCGCTGTCTAATCCTCCTTTCCCAGAGAAAGAACAATAGATGTTCATTTCATACAGAAAGAAAGCAGGACCAAAGTTTATCAGCTATCTGCGTTTCTCATTTCAAACTGGTTCCTGAACCCACAGAGCTCTGCTGACCTCTGACCTCTGACCCAGGGCATCAATCAGCAGATTTGATTATAAAAATTAGAATGTTTCATATAATATCTTTAAACTCTGATATAACAGACACGAGCAGTTTCACTACCAACACATCTGTTACACTGATGTTCTGATCAGTTTTCAACTTCTTTGGTTATAATGAACTAAAACATTTTCAGATAAATTTATGACTTATAGACTCTTAAGAATGTGATCTACTAGAAAAACTAATGATTAGACTAATTTTAATCAAATCGTGATCATTTTATCTAAGAAAAATGTTCTACTGATCAAGTTATGTATTAATTAAATCATGAGTCTAAATCGAATTGATGCCAACTCAAAACAATCATAATCCATCTAATATTTCAACATGCACTGAAGTTAAATAGCATTAAAACAAGCATAATTAAACTAATATTTCCAACAGTTTGCAAGCTAAATATTTTTGTTTCAATATTTAAACTAAATATTAATTTAGCCACATAATTATTTAGTCAGTCAAATCAGTAGTTAGCATAAGCTAAATATTTAACTTGGGGCCAGATATTCAGCTTATTAAAATAATTAGCTTGAAGCTGTGACATTATTACATTAATGACATAAAAACATGGCTTTCAAAATGTCATATTTTCCTCCTAAATGTCCCAGGTGATTCCAGTCAGTCAGTTTTTCCTGTAGCTTTGCAGCTGGACGCCTGTCTGCTCCAGAATGGAGTTAAAGTTTCTGTTACTGAATGAACCTTTAAAGCTTTTACTGTTTTAATTTTCTTTTGCTCAGAGTTACTGTCAGCTTCTAGATGTGAAACATCTCCAGTCTAGAAAGGTTGTGCAGGTTCTGAAAGGATTGAATCATTTTCTCTGGAACAGAAACTTCTCTTTACTAGCTAACCATTATGACGTCAGCATGTCTGACCAATCAGAGCAGAGTGAGCAGTTCTTAAAGAGACGGTATCTGAGAGCAGAACATGGTTCTGATCCGAATGTTTTCCTGTCATCTCTTCTGTGTTCCAGCCAATCCAGAGAGTTTTGCTCTTTACTTCATGATGGGCGTCTCGTTCGGACTCTTCATGGCGCTCTGCCTCCTGGTGGCCGCCATCGCCTGCAGGACCCGCAGGCCTCCTCCGTCCCCCGACAGGCGGCAGCTCAAAGACTCCAGCGACGAAGAAGAGAGCATGTTTGAGGAAGACGGGGCGGAGTCCGAGGGGAAGGTGGCGCTGGGGCCCTTGAGGGACCGCAGCAGCCAGTCCAACGGGACCCTGAGGAGCCTCGACGTCTTCACATCCGAAGAGGAGCTGGAGAAGGCCCGGCGCCTGGAGGAGCGGGAGCGGATCGTCCGCGAGATCTGGAGGAACGGACAGCCGGACGTCATGGTGACCGGGACAGGAACCATCGGCCGGGTCCATTACCGCTAATGCTAACCGGGATGAGTGGGCGGGTCCATTACCGTTGTTCTGTTCTGGAGATGAAGTTCTCCAGAACTCCCAGGGTCTAGAATGATTTTCTTCTGTTGTTGCTGCAGTGAGACTGAAACTGCTTCCTGGGAATCATTGCCAGTGAACAACTTTCTGACTGCAGTTTGTTTACCGCATCACTTCCTGTGTTCCAGTTCTGACCGGGGCCTCCCGGGCCCAGACTGGGCCGGATGTTTCTCAGGAGCCTCTGGGGTCTCAGAGCAAAGATCCAGGAAATGGAAGATCGTTCTTTCAGTCATATTTTCATCGTTTCTCATTCATTTATAATTGTGTCAGTTTCAACTAAATATTTAATTAGCAAGCTAAATATCGAGCATGGAGAAATATTTAGCCATCAAGCTAATTAGTTAGCTTCAAACTCTATATTTAGTTTGTAGGTTAATTTTTAAACCAAATAGCAGAAAATATTAGGTAAGAATTTAAGCCCCAGTTTTCTCTGACGGGCTGATAATCCAGATTATTTCTGTTCAGTTTTCATAAAAGCCCCCTTCAGAGAACAGGTTGCTTCAGCTTTTCCAAATTTTAGTTTAACTTTTGAAAACCAGGATAAAGACAGAACCGGACGATCTGGAACCAGAACTTGTTTTCCAGACTGAGAAGGTTCTGAACTCGGTCCTCAGTCAGACCAACCTGCAGCTTCCTGTCCATCCTGGGAAGCTGCAGGTGTGACCGGGTTCTGCTTACCTAAACACTGTTACACAGGAGCACAACAGAGACAACAGGGAAAAAAAACAATTATCGCTCAGGAAACAGAATTTTCCAGGTTTTATTTTGTTTTTCTGAATTTTCTCTAATAAAAAGTTTCCAGAAATCAAACCTCTATGTGAATCAACAGGTTTACAGAAATAAAGTTGATTTTTTTATTTCAGGAACATTTTCTGGGTTTGAATTTGATCTGACCCGACGCAGGTTGGTGCGTGTTGGGAGTGTGAATCCAGATTGAATCCAGATTGAATCCAGATTTCCCTCCTGCAGCCGCAGTTCTAGAAATGACCAGGAAACCCAGAAACGTTCCGATTCAAAGGAACATTTATAGAAAATAAAACAAATGAGTTTAAAGTAAAAAAGGTTCAGGCTGAAGCAGATGTCAGACGGTTGGTTCAGAACATGCAGGTCGGGTCCAAACAGCCTGAAACAGGATCTCACCAGAACTTTAAGCTAAATCTCTACAGCAGATAAATTCCTATGTGGATCTGGGCCAGTTGTCGGCGGCGCCCGGGTCGCTGCTGATTGGTCCCGTTGAGCGGCGCCGTGCTAACAGAATCATGAACCGCGTTTTCACTCGTCAGCAGCTTTTATTCTCCTCTAAGGCACAAAACGCTTTGATTTGCTGCAGAACATGAAGCTTAAAGTTCTCCCTTAAAAAGACATAAAAACACAAACATGTCAACCGTTAGCTGGAAGATGGCTTCTCTACTTGGGGGTGGCGTCGCCGGAGGCTTTGGGCTCCTTGTGCTCCGCCTCCATGGCGTCGTCCGGCAGCTCGCCCTCCTCGCCGCCCTGGAACATGTCGTGGGCCCACTTCGGGCTGCCGCCGCCGCCGCCGCCCTTACGGTACACGAAGCGGCCGCGGCGAGTCGGGAAGGAGCCCCGCCCCCGGCCCCGGCTCTCCACCCAGGTCTTTTCTCCGTCACGATCGTCATGCTGGAAGAGGAAGAGGAGGAGGAGGTGAGGAAGATCACCGGATTAAAAGGTTAAACAATCAAAACTTAAAAGCAATAATTTGGTTATTTATCCTGCAAGTCAAATTTTAACCAGGTTGACCATTCATTAGACATGTCAGTTTCAAACTAAGCATTTAATTATCAGGCTAAATATTTAGTTTGCCAAGAAATATTCAGCTAGCTCAGAGCTACGCGTTGATCTCCAACCTGACACGTAGCTTTAGCTTCAATCTGTGATGTTTAGAAATAACATGGTGAAAATAAAACTGACACTAAATAACACAAAGTATTGTTACTTTTTGACTAACTTTACAAAATCCCCCAAACGATTCAGCCTTGACCTTTGACCCTTTGAACCTGACAGGTGTCTGTGGTGGAGGCCGTAGCTTCTTCTCACACATAAACACAGTAAAGAGCTTCGCTGCAGATTGTTATATTTTCTGAGGCTACCTGGTTTTAAATCTGTTCAGTTCATAAATGTTTGTATTTCAGATGCAGATTTAATTAAACCTTAAGAAGCAAAACAAACAGAAAAGTTTCTTCTGTTTCTGTGGTTCCTGATTAAAGCTCCCTGCTGCCCTCTGCTGGCCGCCACAGAAAGAAACAGGAAACCCACCAGGTAGTACTTCCTGCTCTTGGGCGTGTACTCGGGGTCCCAGTCCTCCTCCGGGGGGCGCACCGGAGCGTTCAGGTTGGCCGGGTTTCCGTTGCTGTTCCCGGGATAATTCCCTCTGCTCCAGCCTCTTCCTCTCATCCTGGGAAACTGAAAGGAGAACAGGTCGTCGTCATCATCATCACCACCTGACTCATCTCCATCATCACGAGGAGGAAGAGCGAAGAAACTTACAAATCCTCGGCCTCTTCCTCTGTCTGGGAAGTGGCCCTCGTAATCCCGTGGCCCCCGGTCGGCGGGGCCGCCGTAGTCCCGCGGCGGATAGCGCGGGGGGCCGTAGCCCTCCTCCAGATGCTCCGCCCCCTCCGCCAGGTACTCCTTCCCTCTGTAGTGGGGGGGGAAGGGCGACGGAGAGGAGGAGGAGGAAGAGGAGGACGGAGAGCGGTCACGCTTCTTCTTACTCTTCCTGTGAGAACAAACCAGCAGCTGTCGTCATGGTTACGCTCCTCCATGTCTCCCTTCAGCTATCGGGGAACACTGGCAGGACTTTGGAACAGGTAAAGTAAGGATCAACATCCTGCTGCTTCATGATGCTAACATTAGCTGCTTGCGTTAAAATCTAAGCCAGTTCAACTTTGGATCCACACAGTGTGACGTCTCCTCTGATCCAAAAAGGAAGCAGTAATGGCGGCTCACACTGACATCCTGTGATTGGTGAGATTGCAGATCTATCCAGGAATGTTTCTCCTCTCATAGTCTGATTCGCTCTGAGACATGAACTCTTCTGAGCAGTGAGGAATCTTTACCCTAAATAACTACAGAGATTATTAAATATCTAAAAACGTTGCCGTCCAGGCTGAAAACCAAGAGAACCAAGAAAATGGAGGATGGAGGACCTGCGGCGCCGAGAGCGAAACGTTTCTACTAACCGGAGTCTGAGCTGATTGGTCGACTTCTGATGACATATTAGGGTTCCCTTAAAGTTAGCACAAAACACTGCGGTTTGATGCTAACCATTCTATTATAACAATGCTACTCATGCTAACTGCTGTAATGCTATGCTAACAATAAAATCTGAACTATGAACATTTTATCAATTAAAACAGAAACACTCTTCCTCTCTCTCACACACACACACACACACACACACACACACAAAATGACGCCTCCTCCTCTCCAAACATAAAGCATTAGTTCATATTCATGATTGGTTCTGACAGAAGATCCTTTGGAAAGTCTTCAGATCTGAAATCAAACGTTCCTGGTTGTTGCATCGGAGCTGAACCCAGATCCTGCTCTGGTTCTGGTTCTGGAACAGCAGAACAAAGCAGCGGGACCTACTTGGACTTTTTGTGGTGCTTCCCAGATTTGTCGGAGGAGCGCTCGCGGCTGGGCCCCCGGGAGCCTGCGGGGCTCCGGCCTCCATCCCGCTTGTAGTCGCGCTCCTTCCCAGCAAACCTCTTTCGTCTTTCAATATCCAGCCGCAGGTCCATGATGTCTCCTTTGAACCGTTTGTCCTGCAGGGAGGAGAGCGGTTAGCGGCTGTCCGTTAGCCGTTAGCGGCCGCCTCAGTGGGACTGATAATCACATGAATGCAGTAAATCTGAACGTTGTCAGGCAGAAACATGCAGTAGCTCAGAAACAAAGTGACACTGTCAGTTTGAGGCTGGATGGTTTTTCTGACAGGAAAAATACTTACAAGGTAAAGGCACTGATGTTGATCTGGATCATAATTCCTTTAAGCCTTTGCTCGGTTCGTTTAAACCCAATCAATTACCATATCTCATAGGCTGGGGCTTTCTTGGCACTTATTAAACACATTTGGGCTCTTTTGATATAGAAATATGCATCCTTTGAAAGAAAAGCACAAAGCTGAACACTGCTGCTCAGGACTGCCTCAGACTCCAACAACGGCAAATTTCTAAACGCTCGTCACCTTGTAGCTCGACTCGTCCACCTCCTCAAACAGATGAGGGTGCCTCTTAAAGGCACTGGGGGAAACATCGATTCTCCTGCAGGAGGAAGAGCAGCGGTCAGCAGGGGGCGGCGGTGGGGTCAAAGGTGAGGGGCGGAGCCGTACCTGTGGATTTCTGGGCTCTTCCTTGGCTTCATCATTTCTGCCTCTGCGGCTTTTCTTTGGTACATGGCAAAGCGCTCACTTAAAGTCATGTCTGAGGAGGGGAAGTGTTGAGCTGCAAACACACAGCAGTTAGAGCCACACACACACACACACACTGACGGAGGGCCCCGCCGCGCCGCCGCCAGAGCTACCTTTGATGTAGTGAACGATGGAGACGATGTGCTGGGCGAAAAGCTCAGACGGGCTGCGGCGCAGCTGGGCCGACTGGATGTGCTGGAAGATGGAGCGAAACTCTGGATCCTTCTTGGAGGAAAGCAGCAGGTCGCGCTGCGCCAGGCGCTCCTTCGACACAGACGAGCTGAGAGGAAACACATTCACTAGGAACATCACAATATTCATACTCAGAGCGTGAAACTCATCACAGTGATTTATTTCTGTCAACGACTTTTATTTTACCTCAATCATTAACTCAGAGCAGCTGCTGGGCTTTAAACCAGGAGCATCAAGGAAAGAACCGAGAAAATATTTTTAAAAATGTTTTAATCTACTCAACAATAAACCAAGCATGAACTTTTTAAATTAAATCATCACGTTTGTTTTGTAGGAACGGAACCATGGACCCAAAACTTTAAATGGTTTTCTGTCTTAATGAAAGGCTTCCAGTTTTTATCATTCTGGTCCAACTGATTAATCTTACAAATAAAATCAGGAGGTGGTCAGTCTTCATCTGAAAACACTTCCTGTATCCAACCAATTGAAAAAGCAGATTTTGGTGCTCCAAGGTGAGCAGATGTGGTCCAAGTTACCATGACAACAGAAGGAAACCAGAAGATGCTGGACAGCTTGGACCTAAAATGTCTGTAAGTAGATTTTGATTTAAGTTGCAATTCTGTCCTAATTTATGTAGTTTATTCTTTAATTGTGGTCAATGTGAGACAATAAATTATGACTTTACCTGGAATCATTAAAACAAGAAATAAAAGATTTAAATCTTTTACTCTGTTGAATCTATAAAAATGACCTGTCACTTTCTGAGATGACTGGAGAAAAATATTCTACTTTCATGTAAAATTCTTTTTTTTAATTTAACATATTAGTAATTCGGATTGTCCTTTAAAGTTCTTTATAAAATATTGAATAATCCTGATGTATTTTGCGATTTTTACCGTGTTTCTGCTCTGAATTGTGTCAACTGTACAGGAAACTAGATACAAGACTGGTTCCAGTGTTCTGTAATGCTGCTGTTCTCCTGCAGGGGCAGTAGAGGTTACCTGGCTGTCTCCTCTAAGCAGCTCATCTTCAGCTCGAACTCCTGCCTGGAGGCGGACAGGCGATGCGGAGGAGACGGCTCCAGAGCGGGGAACGCTCCAGGGAACAGCGGCCGCTCCTTCTCCTTGGATGTCGTCGGAGGACTCAGGCTCCTCTTGGTCTTCTCCTTCTCCTTCTTCTCCTTCTTCTTGGATTTCTCCTCCTTCTTGGATGAGTGCTTGCGGCTCCGGTACAGCTCTTCCTCTGCTTCATCCACAGCCTCTTCTTCTGCATCTCTGCGGCCTTTCTCTTTGGCCGACTGATAGGATGAGGAGTAGTTTGGCTCGTCGCCCCATTTGCCGAAGATGTCGCGCTCTGTAAGGATGGATTTGCCATCGGCGTCTTCGTTGATGATCCGGTCCTTCAGGCCCTGCGACTCCAGGAACTCCTCCTCCCCCGGGTCAAAGAAGGGCATGGTCTTGTCGTCTTTGGGATCAGCGTACGGAGACGCGGAGATGCTGAAGATGTCGGAGGACTTGGAGCTTTTCTCGGGGTCTGCGTCCTTCTCCCGGCTGCTCTCCTTCTCAGCTGCTTGCTTTTTCAGCTGCTTCTCAGCCAGGAACCTGGAACAGAGATTCAGGTGAGGTCAACAGTCAGGAGGAAGCTGATTGGATGAAAGCTTGTTGGAAATGGACATACTTCTTAAAAGCTGCGGAGATCCCAGCGCTGTCTCCAGGTTTGGCGTCATCCTTGGAGAAGAAGCCGAAGCCGCTGAAGGAGGCCGTCTGTCCGGACTTGGAGGGGCTCTTTCCTGGAGGCGAGACGGAGCCGACGGTCTTCCACATCTGACCGGCGCTGCCTTTGGCCTCCGGCTCCGAAGTGTCCTCCTTCTTGGAGTCCGGACTGCGCCTCTTGGGGCTGGCATCATAGTCGATCCACTTCCCACCAGACGTTTTGGCGATGACGGTTCCGTCGGCGGCTGTTGCCGATTTCTCTGGCTGACTCTCTGGCTGCTTGTCTTTAGAATCCTTGGACTTCTTCCGACTTTTGCTGTCGTGGCGTCGGGACGAAGATCGGGAACGGGAGCGGGACGAGTAGCTGGAGTGGCGGGACTGGCGGGACCGGCCGGAGGACGAGCGGTCGGAGTAGCGGGAGCGGCTGCGGCTTCCTGAGCGCTTCTTGGGCGTGCGGGAGCGCGAGTACAGCCTCCTGGGGCTGTGGTGCTCCTGCCGGTCGTGCCAGCCTCCGCCACCGCCGCCGCCCTGCCAGTTGGACTTGTAGCCGTAGCCTCCTCTTCCTCGGTTCTGGTAGTGGCCGCGCGGGTAGTAGCCACGGTTGCGGCCGCGGTAGTAGTACGGCCGGCGGTAGCCGCGATTGTAACCCCGGAAGCCTCTGTTGTTGCCCTGGTAGTCCCGGGACGGGTAGTTCCTGTAGCCCGGGGAATGGGAGCGGGAACGGGACCGGGAGCTGGAAACGGGAAGAGAGACGGACAGTCAGGACCAACCGGACAGGCTTCAGCTGATCGGACCAATCAAAGCCCTCCAACAGGTCAAATGTAGAGCTGTAACGATTCCTCGAATGATTCAAGTACCTCTATTAGTAAAATACCTGGAGGAAAACTTATCTGCCTCAAAGCTTCATTAAATTAAGTTTAATGGTTAGCGCACCGTGTTCCCGCCGGTCGTCAGTCACGTTGCACAGCGCTCCGACTTCCGCCTCTGAGATGTTGATGAAAGCTAAGTGTTAGCAGCACAACGTCCAATTTTAATGTTCGGCCTGGGAGGATTTTACCGATTGATGACAATGTCCAGATTTTTGTTGTTTTTCGGGGGACCAATAAGCATCCTTAAGTTAACTGGCCTGATGCCTGGAGTAGGCAGCTTTTCTCCTCTGAGAGCTGCTTCCTGATGGCTCTGAGCGAACGGCGGGGACGACCGCAGCAACATACGTGTACAGGTGAGTTGATAGACTGAACACTTCAGGTGGCTGTGCTTTAGCGCAGTGTTTTTCAACCTTTTCTGAGCCAAGGTTCACTGTTTTAATTGAAAAAATCACGAGGCACACCACCAACCAAAAATGTAAACAAAGATACTCTGTAGCCGCCTATATTACATATATAGTCATGCTTATCAAAGTTCCTTGAATAGGAATCAAATAAACACAAAAATTTATTTTTATCATATTTTACATTTCTTATTTCAAATTGCACGTAACATGTCCCCTTCAAAAATACACCTGAACACCTGAACAGCCACAACACTGTGGTCTTAAATTTAAAGAAGTTGTAGAAAACTTCAAAGTATTTTACAAACTAATCCACAAGCATTCTTTTAGCCAGAATACAGAAAATAATTCTTATTCTGAAAGAAGCAATAATAATTGGGAAGCTCACTTCACACAGACATGTTGTGGGAAATGGACCCATGTTCTTTCTAACTACTGCTGAGCTTCACTGTCTTTTCCATCACCGTCATCACAGTCTTGCTAGATACGATGCTCTCACCTCTACCTGTAACATTCATGGCTCACTAATTCTCTTGTTTTAATGTAAAAT